TTTATTTCTTTGTCCATTTCACCGATCAGACCGTGTTAGGCAGCAAAGGCACTCCATGGCGATATCCGCTACGGGTCAGAGGCAGAAAAAACTAAGATTATTTCAATGAGCTTTTTTTTTGCAAAAAATATTCGATTTATAGAAAAGTTGCAAAGGGTTCCCCTTCACCCAGTACCCGCTTGCATGTCCATGAAATATTTGTTAAAACTCAGAAACCAACATGGACCTGTTCTCATTAATGAACTCTTTACCATTCAGGATCCAGCCCAGAATTCAGTTTGTTAGGTCTCCACAGTCTCTCGTTGTGGCAATTTCTCATCCTTTCCTTGTTTGTCACGACCTTGACAGTTTTGAGGCGTGTTGGCCTGGGATTTTGTAGCGCGTCTCTGGGTTTGGGTTTGGCTGGTGGTTTCCTTATGATGACACTGGTATTGTGGGGGTTTTTTGGGGGAAAGAATCCGACCAAGATGAGGTGTTCTTCTCATCGCACACATTAGATGTTAGCCTTTGTCCCTTGGTTGAGGTGGTGTTGGCCGGGTTCCCCGCTGTAAAGAAACTGTTTCCCCTTCCCACACTCTATTCCTGGGAAGCAAGTCATTAAGTCTTGCCCACACTCCCAGGAAGTTGGGGGGAAGGAAAGGGGGTTTGCGTTTAAAATATCTTACCTGCAATAATCTGAACGTACAATAAAGCTCCCATCTTTCATTCAAATTCAATTGAATACACTTTTAGGATCCCGTGAAGAGAAATATTTTGGAGATTTATGCAGCAACAATTGTAATCCCTAGAAGTAGCTCTGGGTATTACCATCGTATGGAAAGACACAAACCTTAATCCTGGTAATGATGATGGATACTGGGAGATGCCTATCTTTGTCTTAGCCGAGTTGTTATCAAAATGACTGCTTACTTTCCTGAGCTCTTTTTGAACATCTGATGAAATCCCTGGGTGACTTTTCTTCCGAGGCTGAACATGCTCCAATGCAAATTGTACACAAGCTGGAAATCTATCTTCATATAATTGTCCTCCGGGGTCGCACAACATTCAAGTGCGTGTTGCCAAGATGCGGTTTGTCTGCAGGATCATAAAAGCACAAATGAATTACTCTCTTTCCATGGTCATGCATTTATACATTTTCTCAAAGGCAGCCAACCTACTAAACAGCTTGCAAGCTACCGTACATGGAAGGGCATCCGAGTTCATCATTTTCATGATCATCTCTTGTGTCAGGCTCCCTTTTAAAATGTTTTTATTGTCAGTTACTGGCTTTTTCTGTTTGTTTTTTTGTTTTTTTCACATTCTCCTGGCTTTCCTTCACCTTTGAGCAATATTTTAGTTGGCACCATGAACATAGCAGACAACAAGATGAAAATGTGTCCTTCTCAACGTAAAGGAATTATGCGACCATCTTGCCAATCTGCAAGTAAGGTCTTGAATGAGTTACATTTTTCTAATTTGCCGACTTATGTTTATCTTTGTCCCGAGCAAATCATGTCACCATAAAGATAGAGCTGCGGGAGTTTAAAAAGGCATATCAACGTGATCACGTTTTCTCCTCAGGTTTTCATTACTAATTTTTTCAACATCCATTAATATCTTAAGACAATATGCTAGACGCTGTGGGGGAAACAGACAAGGAGCTTTCTTTTCAGCAGAGAAGCTCAAATGTATACAAAATTTCTCAGAATTTTGGCACAGAAGCAGTACAAATGAAATGTAAAGCGAGGAGGAGCACAGAAGGGTTTTGAGCGGGATAATGACAAGACCAGAGAAGTGCCGTAGAAAAATTAGTTCTGTAGTGTTGTGTTGGGTGGATTATAGTGACAGCCTGGGAGGGAAGGAGGATGGAGAGGGGAGAGACAGGGGCCAAGAGACGAACAGGAAACTTTTAGTATTAAGGAGCTAATGTGAGCTAGAGTCTCGGCAATAGAATCAGGGAA